CAGCTGTTCTGTGGGAGAAAGATGAGGCTTTCTGCTCCTGTAAAGATTAACAGCCTTGGAAACCCTGTACAGGGTCACTATGAGTTGGAACCGACTCCACGGCACACTGCCACCACCACCACCACAGGAGCCCTGGTGGCACTGTGGGTTAGCCACAAGATTGGGAGTTCAAGTCCTCCAGCTGCTCCATGGGAGAGAGATAAAGCTGTCAGCTCCCATATAGATTTATAGCCTGGAAACCCTCTGGAGCACTTAACCTTCGTTTAGGGCTGATACAAACTAGAACCGACTCGGCAGTGGGTTTGGCGTGGGGTTTTGGTGTCGGCAGATGGACTTATAACTGAAATTGCCTGGAGTGTTCACATGTAAAAGAGAGCTTCCCAGCCTGTTGGAAATTCAGAATCTCTGCAGAAGCCTAGGCCTGCAGAGCTCCTTGGGGGGGAAATGGAACGTTCATGATTCAGTGGCTGGCCTAGCTAAGACAGGTCCCTAAGCCAGCTCGTCACTCTGCGCTCCCTGTCTCTCTCCTCTGAGCACCCACCCACCCATAGTGCTTTACTCCAAGCAGCAGTCTTTCCAGCTGTACCTCAAAACAAAACAACCATTTTGTATCAGAACAACTTGAATTCAAACTCGAGCTTCTTACCTGCATATCCTTTCCCCGAATCCCGGTTTCCTCACTTGGGAGTCATTATTTGTGTTCTGTGGACTGGTATCGGGAATAAATAAAGTACGAGTAGCATTTTGGCAGGCATGAGGTATACCCCTATACCCTTGGTTTTGCCCCCTGCCTGTCTTGCTACAGAGCTGTTCTCTACTACCACCCGACTTCATGATCCCTGCTCCCTGCTTGGCCACCATATCAGAATCACCTGGGGCCTCGTGAAAACACGGGTCCCTGGGCTCCATTTTCAGTCTGATTGAATAGGTCTGGGGTGAGGCCTGAGAATTTGCACTTCTAGCAAGTTCCCAGGTGATGCTGATGGTTCAGGGACCACACTTTGAAAAAAAACTCTTGCTGTGTAGACTTTGAGTTGAAATCAAGCAAAAATGACAGTCTCCCACCTCCGTATCTCTGAGTGACCATCTTCAGAACTTGAAGGACTTAACAAGAATTTCAAAGCCCGCCCCCTTGAATAGAACGGCGCCCCACCTTTCTGTGGCTCATCTCTGTTTTTCTCTTCAGCCAATATCCCACCAACTTTAGGCAAGCCACATTATCAAAGAGAATGATTCGGATTTCCCATGATGACTGATGCTGGAAACTGATTTTCCAACCCTCAAGTTTATTTTACAAATTCTGTTTTGCTGAAGTTAATATGGGAATTGGTTTGCCGTCCCTGAGCACACACCAGCAGCTTTACGGAGTGGCCAGAAGACAACAGGAAACCAGGATAGGGTTCAGAATGTGCTATGGATAATTGAGGGCTGACATCCTTAGAAGAATGTTCCTAGGCCGCATGCTGCAAGGGAGAAACCCTCTCCTAGCTCTGGGGGGTGGGCTGGAGCCTTCACCTCTGATGCAGATCATGGGTGGTCTCTGCTGTGAGCCAGTCAAGGGTTCTGTGGGTGTGAGGTTGTGTACTGTGAGCCAGGAGGAACTGACACCAGCTTCCTCAGAAGAGCGTGAACACCACGTGCTTCCACACACGCTCACTGTACATCGCTGCCTTGGTGTTGGCTTCGTTGGGCTCTATGCAGAGCTCCCAAGGCACCCTATTCTGACTCCCTCCCTCTGCCTTCCTCTTAGAATCCGAGGTTCCCAGGCAACCTCCAGATGAGTGACCGGCAGCTGGATGAGGCAGGAGAAAACGATGTCAATAACTTGTAAGTAGCTGACCTCATGCTCGGACCTCATGGGGCAAGTGTCTCTGGGTAATGTCGTCAGTTCTCTCTAGGGGCCCAGAGGACCTGATGTAGGGGGAGTGGCAGAGGTGGGGACTCAGGCTCCTGGGTGGCTTGGCCTTGGGGCCACTTACTGTTATATGTCTTGTCCAAAGCCCCTGCCAGACTGTCTCACACCCAAAGCTTCCATGTCTGTTTCCCTCCATTTTCCCAACCTAACCCTGGGGTCTCGTCTCTCCTTCTGCTCTTCTGTTGACTCTTGACCGCTCTCAGTCTCCAAGTGGCTTGAATACCATTGAAGCCTTCTTAATGGGGGCTAAGAACTGGAGTCTCTGCATGTGTGTTTCCTTATGGGCATGCATGTGCACTGGGGGCTGAAGCACAGTCTAGTGTGGGGCAGGAAAGGAGTAAGACAGACTGGTCTTGGGCTGAGAGTATAATGATGCTTTCCTTCCTCTTGGGTCCAGCTTCCAGCTAACAGTGGAGATGTTTGACTACCTGGAGTGTGAGCTAAACCTCTTCCAAACCGGTGAGTTGCCCCCTCCTATCCTACCCAGGCTCGCAGGGGGACTGCCTAACCCCCAGTCTGCTCCCCTGCTTGGACCAGTCAGCCTGGCTTACCCTCCCAAATTTTGCAGTACAAGGATCAGAAATTGGGAACTTTTACTGATGAAGATCAAAGACCACAGGCTTCAGTATGGGTTGCACCTCAATGTAAAGAAAACAAAAATCCTCACCACTGGACCAGTACTTAACATCATGATGAGGGGAGACGAGATTGAAGTTGCCAAAGACTTCATTTTGCTTGGATCCACCATCAACACTCATGGAAGCAGCAGTCATGAAATCAAATGGCTTATTGCATTAGGCAAATCTGCTGCACAAGACCTCTTTAAAGTGTTGAAGAGCAAAGATGTCACCTTGAGGACTAAGGTGTGCCTGACCCAACCCATGATATTTTCAATCACCTCATATGCATGTGAAAGCTGGACAGTGAATAAGGAAGATCTTAGAAGAATTGATGCATTTGTTGGAGAAGAATATTGAAGGACTGCCAAAAGAACAAACTAAAGTGTGTTGGAAGAAGTATGACCAGAATGCTCCTTAGAAGCCAGGATGGCCAGACCTTGTCTGTCATTATTTCGGACATATTATCAGGAGGAACCAGTCTGGAGAAGGGCATCATGCTTGGTAGAGTGGCGAGACAGAGAGAAAGAGACACCCCCCCAACAAGATGGACTGGCACAGTGGCAGCAGCAACAATGGATTCAAGTGTAGCAGCAGATGTGAAGATGGTCACAGACTGGGTTGCTATAGATTGGAACTCGCTGGACAGCACCTAGTAACAAGAAGAACAGCTAGGAGTTTATTTGAGCAGGGCCCTTGTATCAGCTAAATCATCAGAGAAGTTGAAATGAAGTTGAAATGAAACACAGAATTGAATCCTTGCCCTAAGGCATTCCTAGGCTGGTGGGAGAAGTGGTGCAGACAGTCTTAAAAAGGCACAGGACACGTTTACAGAAAAGTCTGTGTACACACAGGTGAGAAACGGACTTCTCAAAATAATCACCATATGAGACCAAAAGGGCAGCATGTACCCAGAAACCGAGTTCAGAAGGTCATCAATGGGCAGGCAAGCTGGATGAATGGAAACAGGGAACCCAGGACGGAAGAGAGAAGAGTACTTCTTGAGGGAGTTGTGATTAATGTCATGAAACAAAATTGTGTCTAAAATTGTTGATTGTGAAGTGAAATTGCTGTGTGAACTTTCACCCCAAACACAGTAAAATAGTTCCCCCAAAATACCACAGGCACAACTATATACGCCGAAGCCAACTTTTAATGACTTAACTAGTGGATAATTTAGAATTCATTTCCATTTCGCTTCGGACTGTGCTGAATTGAACTGCAGATGTGAGTGGGCATTCCTTGAGAGTGTCCAGTGTAAACATTGCTGTGCAGCTTATCCAAGGCCTCTTCTAGCAACTCTGACCTCTTAGAGTCCTCCTGCCACCTGTACAAAGGCCTGGGGAAAACAAGGCAAACGTTCAACTTCTCAGGTTGTCCCTCCCAGCCTGGAGACTGCTGGAGTAAGAGGAAGCAGAGAGATTCTAGCATCAGGAAGGGCTTGAGTAGTTAGTTAGGCTGAGAACGGCAGCTGAGCTTCCCCCACTGCGGGACCTTCCCGCTCTCACGGATTGGACGTTGTTCACTTACATTTTGACCACTAGATGCCAAGTGCCACTTCTTCCAAACCTGAAACCATCTTCAACTTCCCTTTCAATCCCGTCTGGACTAGCCAGTGTCTAGGACGTAGCGAGTGCTCAGCAAGAACAGAAAGTGGACAAGTGCTTGCTTTCAATGCAGCAAAAAGAAATCACAGGTGAGCGGAGTTCATACAGTGGTGTCAGCATCCAACAGCTCGCTACAGGAGTATTGGCTGAATGAGTAACTTAGAGCCTTCTGGAACAGAGCTGCTGCCACTGTTAGTGCCGCCAAGTCGGTTCCGACTCATAGGGCTTCCAAGGCTGTACATCTTTGTTGTTGTTAAGTGCCGCCCAGTCGGTTCTGACTTGTAGCCTATATAGGCTTTTCCAAGGCTGTACGTCTTTACAGGAATAGAAAACCTCATCGTTCTCCCATGAAGCAGTTGATGAACTCAAACCGCTGAACTTGCTCACAGTCTAGTGCTTGTCCTATAGCACCACTGTGTTCCCCAGAATAGGGCTACCCTTATTTAAATCCCACATCTTTGCACACATCCCTCATGATCTCGTCCCTGAGAAAGCTCTGATTTGGACTCCAAGACACTCTACTCCATTCCCTCCGCCAAGTCCCCACCGTGTATATTTGAATGTACTAAAAATCCAGAGAGATGGTGTTGGAAGAAGGTTCTAATATGTGCCCAAGACCCCACCCCAGCTGCAATCAAACCTCTTGAGCCAGTTTACCAAGGTTTGGAATTCTGCTCTGTGTCCATGGAAGGCTCTGACCAGTACCCTCGCTCACAGCCTGGTGGTCTGCACTGCTGTGGGAAATAGGGGGAAACTAGAGTTAGCGTTTATCTCAGGCTCTACCCCAGACCAAAAAGAAACCCAGTTACCATCGAGCCATGTGCCTGGATGTGTGTGTGGGTAGAGCTGTGCTCTGTGGGGTCTCCTGTGCCTGGTTTTACAGAAGTAATCTCTCCCTGCTTCTTTTGTCTGAAATACCTCTGAGTGGACTCAAACCTCCAACCTTCTGGCTAGCAGCCAAGCAGGGCCTCTAACCCAGACTTCTTCTTATTCAGTACTGTCGAGTTGGTTCTAACTCATAACGACCCTGCATAGGGTTTCCAAGACTTTTTGTCTTCTTGGGAGCAGAAAGCCTCATCTTTCTCCCAAGGAGTGGCTAGTGATTCGAACCGCGAACTGTGTGGTTTGCAGTGCAGTGTTTATAGCATAGAGTCACCTTGCTTCCCAGTAGCCATGTGTGGGCATTTATATTTCATTTACGTGAAAATGATGTTAAAATTCAGGTCCTCAGTTGCACTTAGCCACAATTCAAGTGCCACATTCAGTTAGCATATTAGATGATACAGATACAGAATTGGACAGAATTCTCTTGGGCAGTACTATTTCTGATGCATTTAATGTTTGAGAACCGCTGAGCGAGGCTGCCTGCCCATGATTTCCAACCCTGGCTGCTCATTATAATCACCTGGGGAGCTAATGAAAACTATATTGGTGCCCCAGCCCTACCCCCAGCCAATTAAAACAGAATGGGGCGGGGCTAGGAAGCCCTGGTGGTGCCGTTGGTTGCTAGGCTGCTAATCACAAGCTCGGTGGCTCAAACCCACCAGCCCACTCCATCGGGGAACAATGAAGCTATCTGCTCCCGTATAGATTGACAGGTTCAGAAACCATGGGGAGCAGCTCTGTTCTGCCCCAGAGGGTCACTATTGAGTCAGAGTGGACTCGATGACAGTGGGTTTGGGGGTGGGGGTTTGTTGGCAGGCAGTAGTTTTTCATTTTCCGCAGGTGACGCTAATCAGTCTCGATGCCCAGCACTGTGTACTTTAGACACATTCTCACTTCTTCATTACGAGACCTTTACATACTGTGAGCATCCTCCACATTTTACAAGAGAAATCAGAGGCAAAGAGGTGGAGTAACAGGTCCAAGATCACACTCTTCAAGATGTTCCCATATGCCCTGGGGATGTTCCTGGAAAGTCATGGGAAGCAGAGGGCCGCCTGGGAGAGGGAGCAGTCTGTGATTCCTTGCCAGAGGGGAGCCTGAGGAAGCCAGTAGGCTTGGGAGATGGCCACCTTGCCTGGGCAGCTGCTTTCAATTTGTATCAAGCAGTGAGTCTGCCTTTTAATTAGAACCATTTGGGATTCTTGCAATTGCCAGACTGACCCAGTTAGCAGGCATGGGAGCAATCCTGAGAGGTGGCGTGCCAGACTCAGGGCTTTCCTCAGGGGGCCATTGAGATCGGCGCAGGACCACAAGGCAATTTACTTCCCACCTGGCTCTGTATGGCGTCTCCAAGATAGAAGGAAAATCAGCGCAGGCCAGTTGCTTGGGCCAGGAGTTCTGTGGGGGGAAACTTCTTTGGAACTTGGGAGAATGCAGGATGGCTCTTGTTGGTCTTCCCGCTAAAGCTTGTATCACAAATTCTGTTTGAACCACACGGTCAGTGGTTGAAACCCACCAGCCACTCCTCAGAAACTCTATCTACACAGCGTCACCACGAGTCAGAACCTACTCAACGGCACTTAACAACAACAGTGCATCGAGGTTTGACAATATCCCCAGATTTGGTACTCCTTTGAACCTGTGATTTACATCAGAGAGAGATCACATGCCTGAGAGGGAATTTCAGTTGTAGAATTTTGATTCCCCATGAAACTGAGGACTTCTCTGAACAGTAGCCCACCTCCTCGTTAAATCAGAAATTCTGGAAGGTGATGTCCTATGTCTAGCCTATGAGACCAGGGCAGGGACTCTGAAGCTCCTCAGAGACAGGAGCTAAGTCTCCTCCCTTCTGGGAGCTCCCTGGGCGATCCTAGGTAACCCCCAGGCTTTGCACAAACGAGAGCCCCGCATCTGTTCACGACCCACCAAGCATGTTAACCATGACGAGCAAAGGCCTAGCTGTTGCCGGTTCTGCTGGCTGCCTGCCTTTGAACTTGCCACCTCTCAGGAAAATCACTGCTTGGTTTTGTCAACTCCTTCGAGTCAGTTACCTCTCGTTCCAGGGATGCCTTTGCCTATCTCATTTGAGGGATTTTGTTTTGTTGTTTGTTTTTATCCAGCATGACTTTTTTTAAATTGTGAACTGAGTGATAGTTTACGTGGGAGAGCATAGGCTTTATACCGTCGTTTTTATTGCAATGATTACAGTCTACAGTCCCTCTTTTTTGTTGTTTTTTGGGGTGGGGGAGCGGGATGTGTACACAAAAACACTCAGGAATATATAATAATGTAAACAACTAAAGGGAACATTCTGCAAGCCTGACTCCTGGCCGCCAGCACCCAGTCCCTCTTCATAGAGTGTTTTTAAGCATTAAACAAATTCCATTCGCTCCTTAGATCGGCACAGAGTAGGCCCTCTGTGTGTGTTGGATCCCTTCTGTCTGCCTCTCAGAGGTGGTCACCTGTCATTTCCTAGCTCTGTGCCTCTCACCTTCCTTGCCCCTCTCTTTTCCCTAGTGTTCAACTCCTTGGACATGTCCCGCTCCGTGTCAGTAACGACAGCTGGACAGTGCCGCCTCGCCCCACTGATCCAGGTCATACTAGACAGCAGCCACCTCTACGATTACGCCGTCAAGCTTCTCTTCAAACTCCACTCCTGTGAGTATTGCACTGGGCTTCCCGCCTTGCCTCCACGATGGCTCCACAGTGGCGTCTGGTCATCTTGAGACTGCAAGAGCTTGTTGTTGTTAAGTTGTTATGTGCCATCAAGTCAGTTCTGACTCATAAATAGGGCTTCTGAGACTTTAAATCTTTCCTGGAGCAGAAAGCCTCATCTTTCTCCCACAGAGCAACTGGTGAGCTCGAACTGCCAACCTTGTGGTTCACAGCCCAGTGCTTATCCTAGAACATCCTAATGTCCTAGGTTCTTGGGTCCTTGTGGTATATCAGTGCTTTGCCTATGATGAGGAAGGAGGGAACAGGAGTCATCTCCTGGCTTCTGTAGGTCCCAGTCTTTCTCAAGATTGTTACTTTGGCCCCCTGTAGTAACCCCAGTCTGTTGACAGGCAGAGGTAAGTAGAGCCTTGTTGCGCTTGTCCCTTCTTGAAGCAGACAGCAGGCTACCTTTAGATAAGCCTCAGGAGGTGACTCTGCCCACCTGTGTGTTTGCTTCACTGAAATGTGCAGAGTCTGCGACAGTCCCAATTACATTCAGGACCCACGAAGACATCTGGTTTGTCATGGTGTTGTCCCAGGATGGTTCCTCTCCTTAGGCCTCTAACTTTACCACCACATCATCCAATACATATACACTCATCGGTTGCACGGTGTAGGCTAGGAGCCACAGAAATAAGAATAAACCTGCCCCCTGCCCCCTGCCCCCTGCCCCTGCCCCCTGCCTTAGACTCACATGATCTAGGGTTGTTGTTGCTAAGTGGTGTGGAATCATTTCCGACTCAGAGAGGCCCTGTGTAGGGTTTACAGGAGCAGAAAACCTCAACTTTCTCCCATGGAGCCACTGGGAGATTTGAACTGCTGACCTTGAATTAGTAGCCCAACGTCTAACTACTACATTGCCTTACATTATCTAGGGTAGAGGTTTCCCAACTTATTTCCCAAGCACCTTTTGTGACGGCATCCCAGTGAGACTCAGACCCACTGAGAGAACACGTCTGTAGCCATTCACTGAGGACAGACACATGTAAAAACATGTTTTGTTTAGAATAAACTCATGCATGTATGAACTAGAATCCTAGTAGCAATGCTTTATGATTCATGCTAAGATCATTGAAATACAGCAGAATCATTCCACCTGAAAGTACCTCACAGAGCCCACTGTGTTGGTGAAAAACCTACCCCACCAAGGCTGCTCCTTGTCCAGGGTCCCAGAGTAAGTTAGTGGTCAAGCCTCAACCAAAGCCAAGATCCCCCAAATCTCAGCCCCATGTTCGCTGTCTCCTGCCCGGTATCCTTTCAGGCAACCGCCATAGATCACTTCTAGACGAACATCAGCCCTGGTTTCATCCTAGAATAAGTACATTCCCGCCAAGAGAGAACCACCCCAGTCCAGGTCCTATTGCGCCGATCCACTTACTTGGTCAGGGATACATACGAGTCCCTCATCATGGTGCCCAGAGTGGTTCACACTCCAGAAGCCCCAGGCAGACTGAGAGGATGAGCACACCTGCCGCCTGTCTCTCTGTACACCTCTCCCTGCTGGCAGCATTGCCTCAGAGCCTGTGTTCTTGCCCCGGTCTTATGGGGCTTGATGGTCCCTGGTTCTCAGGCAGCTCTTGGCCAGGGCTGGCCACATGCCCTGACCAGACCAACTCCTCCCTTCTGAGCTCTGCTGAGGCTCGCTTGCCCTCCACTCACTCCTCCTCCGCGCTCACATTCTTCCCATGTTTCCAGGTCTCCCAGCCGACACCTTGCAAGGCCACCGGGACCGCTTCATGGAGCAGTTCACAAAGTGAGTGTTAGCATCAAGGCGAGTCAGAATGGTGCAAGATCACTTCATCCGTGGTAAGGGTTAATACTCCAAGGGTGGAGGTGTGTGGTGCTGCAGTGTGTACACCCACTGACTAACTCGGGAAGCTCTTGGTTCTCTAATGAATCCGCAGAAGCATGTAGAAGAATGAGATTTTGTTCGTTGTCACCCGCTCTGTGCCCAGGGACACATCCATCCTCTTTTTTTTGCCTCCCCCTGAGTTCTCATGATCATGCAAGATATACAAGCTGACAATTCTGGAACATGTATCTCTAGCTGAACCTAAGTGTCTCATCCTACTGTCTGTTGGACATCTCTACATGAGACTGAAATCTCAAACTGAACTCCCTCATCACCCCCCAAAATACCTCTTTTCCCCAAAGAACCTTTTTATTCCCAGTCTTTTCTGTGTCAGTAAAGACTGCCACCATCCAGTGAACTTGCCATGTACTCTCCTCCACGTTCAAGGACAGGGTCACTTGACTCTCTACACGTCTGTCTCGGCTCTCTCCACTCCTCCATCTCCAGCCACCATCACTGCATGCTTGGCCCTCAGCACTTCCCTTCTGGCCCCTACAACTACAATACAGTCTTCACACTGCAGACCAGACAACCTTGTGAAGCATGTATGCCTTGCCCAAAGCCTTTTATTGGCTTCCCATGACACTTGGAATCAAATCCAGGCACTTCTCCGCAGCCTCCAAGGCCCTGCATGGTCTGGCCCCTGCCTCTCCTTTCTGACAGTGTCTTAGCCACACAGAGTCTTTTCCATTTCTAGAACATACTCGACGCGTTCCCTAGTTGGGGCCTGTGCACCTGTCTCCCCACTACCTGGGATGCTCTGCTCTTAACTGGGGCAGCTCCCAGAGAGGCAGTCTGTCACTTCCTCTGACCCACCTCATATAAGTCATATCTTCTTCTCACCCCTGCCCCCACCTCCTCTATCACAGCACCCCGCTTTGTTGTTGTTGTTAGGTGCCATAGAGTCTGTACCGACTCATAGTGACCCTATGTACAACAGCACAAAATACTGCCCAATCCTGGGCCAACCTCACTACTGTTGCCATGCTCGAACCCATTAATGCTGCCACTTTGCCAATCCATCTCGCTGGGGGGTCTTCCTCTTTTTCTCTGGCCCTCCACCTTACCAAACATGATATCCTTCTTCAGTGACTTGTCCCTCCTGACAATATGTCCAAAGTATGAGAAACAAAGTTTGGCCATCCTGGCCTCCAAGGAGCACTCTGGCTGCACTTCTTCCAACACAGATCTGTTGGTTCTTTTGACAGCCCATGGCACGTTCAATGTGCTCTTCCAACACCATAACTCAAAAGCATCAATTCATCAATTATTCACTGCCCAGCTTTCATGTGCATATGCAGTATTTCGAAGTATAACTTTATTTTTGTCTGTCTTGCCCGTTACGTATCTCTCACACTTTGTACATCCCAGTCATTAAGCATCTAGTGCTCGGTGTTTGGACAATTTTCATCTAAATGTCTGAATACGCTAAGAACAGTGACCTAGTGTAGCAGGCGTGGCTGCCTGGGGGGTAAATCGGTGACTACATGGAAAGTGTAGTTCATCCTGTGAGTAAATATCCAAGAGGAGGGGACTGGAGGGGGTGAGAGAAGATGGAGTCTCCTGGTTTAGCACTGTATACTGTGGTCCCTTTGGTTTTTTGTTAATTTCTTCATCCTTGACACGGGGGAAACCTGAAGCCCTGAAGCCCTGAGCTTCGCCGTCTCTGGCTGGCTCCCCAGTAGTAATCACAGGACAGATTCAGGTCTGTACTAATCTCCCGGTTTGCATGTTCCCTTTGAGAAGCCTGCTGTGTGTTCTGTAATAAATCCTAGGAGACAGACCGTGGAGCCACTTTGCTAGAATAGTAAGTTCTAGTAGCTTGTGAAAACCATATGAACCTATTCCTGTTGGCTCTGGTCCAGAAAGGAGATGCGTGGTCGGGTGATCTGACAACCTTTGTTTTTCTCTGGCTTATGAAAACCTCTCCACTGAGCAGCCACCTCACTTTCTCTCTTTCACAGGTCTAGCCACTCTGTGAGCCCCTCACTGTCTTGAATCCAACAGCAGGGTCACAGTGGCAGGTCCAGCTCTTGGGGCCTAAAAGGCTGTCATGAGACCCCAAGGGTTTCCTCTACTGGGATGAGTGTGAGAAAATTCTATGTTGCAGGTAGTAGCTGCCAAGCCCCATGGTCCCGTTTCCTCTCAGAACATGCCAGGAGCTTCAGAAAGCTCATGAGAAAACTCTAGTTTCTCTTCATTTCCATTTTCCACAAACTTTTTGAAGCCCCTTTACATAGATCCAGATGTTATCCACCATCTTGGCCCTCAGAGTGTAGATTCAAAATGAAGATTTGGGCATGGGAAGAAAGATTTTTGCTGTTTTATACCCATGTTTATAGGGCACAGTGTGGAGCGCTGGTGTGGCACTGTGGGCTAATGTGCTGAACCGGAAAGCCGGTTTGAACCACAGGGTCAGCGGTTCAAGCTCACCAACCACCCGCTCCTTGCAAACCCTATACAGGATCGCTATGAGTAGAACCGATTTGACAGCACTTCACAACAGGGCACAGTGTAGATAGATAGGTTTTTGTTGTTGTTGTTTTTAAAGCTTTTATTGTGCATTGAGTGATAGTTTTTATGGGAGAACATCAGTTTTGCACTCATCCTATTGTATTTTGTTTCATTGCGATGAATACAATCTTCATGCATCATCATTCAACAGTATTTGCTTATATTCCCTCTGGTATTGTTTTGTTTTTCTTTGATGTACACAAAAACACTCAGGAATATATAATCATTTAAACAAAGGGCACATTCTGCAAGCCTGCCTCCTGGCCACTAGCACACAGCCTTTCTCTTTCCATGAGTCTGGAGTCCTCAGCTGCTCTCTTTCTCCATGTCATCATCTCTGCTTCCATCTCTGGTGTCACTGCTTCTCTGGATAGGGTCCCAAATTCCGCTCATGCTCTTCTCCCTGGATGGTCCTAGGGTCCTCTGTTCCTGGACTGTAAGATTAACTACTAGATAGTTTGTCTCCCACAAATATTTACTGAGAGCATTCTCTATGCCTGGTAGAATGTAAACTTAGCTCAGCAGGTCTCAGTCCTGACCTTGAGAAAGCTTAGAGTCTAATTAGAGAGATCACAGAGCTCTAAAACAAGACAAATTCATTAAAAAGAGAACTTCCTTGGTAATTAATCTTAGTAATCTCCCTTCCCCTTCCCTCGGTTCAGTTGGTTTATACTTGAGTTACCATTGACTCCAGCTCTCAGTGACCCCATGGGTATCAGAGTAGAACTGTGCTCCATAGGGTTTCCAATGCCTTTTTTTTAACCCTCAGAAGTAGATCACCAAATCTTTCTTCTGAGGTGCCTCTGGTTAGACTCAAACTTCCAACTTTTTCATTAGCAGCCAAGCACACGAACTGTGTGTACCATTCCAGGATTCCAGTTTATACTTGGAGAGAGTAAATTCCTTTTTTTTTTTTTTATGTTTTATTGTGAATTATGTGATAGTTTACATGGGAGAACATTAGTTTTACATTCATCCTATTGTATATCGTTTCATTGACATGGTTACAATCCCCTCCATGCATCATCAACCATCCAAAGGGTATACCCTGCAAGCCTGCCCCCCAGTCATCGGCACACAGCCCCTCTCCTCTCTGTGTCTAGAGTCCCCAGCTGCTCCATCTCTCCACCTCATCATCTCTGCCGCCATCTCTGGCATCACTGCTTCTCTGGGTAGGGTCCTGCTCTCCACTCTTCTCCCTTGATGGTCCCAGGGACCTCCACGCCTAGACTGCAAAGTTAAAAATTCCTTTTAATGTTACTCCAAGTCAAAATATTCCTTCAACATAACAAGATACATTCTACCTCAATACAGAAATGGGTTTGGGAATTACCTCTCTTCCAAAGGGTTGGTATTATGAGTTTCTCTACTTCCTTATAACCAGGAGTAGAGGATGGGCTATCCAGAGGCCTTCCCCGCTGGTGGCATCATAATGGAATCCTTGTTACATAGGGACCAGACCCTTGACAGTCTGAGCCTTTGGACTGGGAGGTGGTACCATCGCTGGGTGCCTGCACTGCCCCCCACCTGGGGCTGGCAAAGGCACCCAGTGCCCCTGAAGTCCTTCTTCTCCCCTAGATTGAAAGATCTGTTCTACCGCTCCAGCAATCTACAATACTTCAAACGGCTCATCCAGATCCCTCAGCTGCCCGAGGTAAGCATGTCCCGGCTGTGCCTGCCGTACCCCGTATGCTGCTAAGTCCCCGGGTTCTCTGTAAGAGGCTGGAAGCACCTGGCAGGTGAGCATGGGCGGCTGGCATGCTGGAGGGTGTGTCTCCCCTCTTCAGAACCCACCCAACTTCCTGCGAGCCTCAGCACTCTCAGAACACATCAGCCCTGTGGTGGTAATCCCAGCGGAGGCCTCATCCCCAGACAGTGAGCCTGTTTTGGAAAAGGATGATCTCATGGACATGGATGCCTCTCAGCCGGTGAGGAGCGTGTAGGAGAGAAACTTAGCCCTTCCTGTGCCCTGTGCCTCTCAGTACTGACCCAGGTTCCTTCATAAGCATCAAAGACTTAGTTTACCTGAGCACTAAGTTAGATGGGACACCTCTGGCATATGGTCCTTAGGTACTGTCAGAAAGAATTCACCCTGACACCCCTCTTGCATTTGACCCACACGTAGAATTCTCTGGGTCTCTAACTTTGTTCTTCATCCCGTTTGGTCACCACAGAATTTATTTGACAACAAGTTTGATGACATCTTTGGCAGCTCTTTCAGCAGCGACCCCTTCATTTTCAACAGTCAGAACGGTGTCAACAAGGATGAGAAGTGAGTCTAAGCAGGGCTAAAACGGATGGGGCAGAAATGGCGCTAAAACCGTAATGCAATTGGCAAGACCTACCCAACAAGGAGCTCTTAATGTTCCTGGTGCTTCTTGGATGTTACAGGATAAAGAATGTCTTCATCCTTAATACTGCTGGCCACTTTAATCCCAGAAGGAAAATAAATGATGCTAAGATAGCTGTGGGCCCACAGGGCATTAGCGGAGTATCTGCTAACACTAATGACCCTGCATTAGCCTATGGAGTTTCAAAGAATTGTCTCTTTCCTAGCTCCCATTTCAGTAGAAACAAGCTTGTTTTTCTCTCCCCAGAGATCACTTAATTGAGCAACTATACAGAGAGATCGGTGGGCTGAAGGCACAGCTGGAAAACATGAAGACTGAGGTATGGCTTGGGCTCCAATCTGGTTTTTGTGTTTTACTGCCACAGATTGTAATGTTAAATCTGCTTCTCGTAACTGTTGGACCACAGCTTTAGTAGACTTGCCGGAGCAGAAGAATCTAGTCTTCCTATGGTCTTAGTCACCTTTCCTTTATACAAAGGTGCCCCAGTAGTGCTGTGAGTTAGGCACTGGGCTGCTAACCCCAAGGTTGATGATGGTTCAAACCCAGCAGCCGCTCTGTAGGAGAAAGATGAGGCTGTTTGCTCCTGTAAAGATTTGCAGTCTCAGAAGTCTCTGTTCTACCCTGTTCTAGAGGGTCACTATGAACCAGATTTGACTCAGTGACCCTGAGTCTGGTTTTGTTTTTGGTTTTCGAAACAAGGGTGCTTCATGAACTTTGTGGGAAAATTCCATTATCTTCTTTATTTATAATTTTAAAAAAACTTTTAATATGAATTGAAAGAAGGTTTGTAGATTCTGTTTTACATCCAACAAATCTCATCCTTTGCTGCACTACAACGATTGCAATCCCCTCCGTGTACCAACAGTTCTCAATAATTACCTCTATTCACTTTCATTCTTGTATTCCTGCCTGTCTTCCTGCTACCTTCGTCTTTCCTCTGCCAGCCTCCCTCTTGTTGTATGTTGCTTGCCATGTCACCCATGGTAACCTTCTATCCTGTGGAGTCCTGGTGTGGCGCTGTGGGCTAATGTGTCAGGCTGCAAAGTCGTTTGAGCTGCAACGTCGGTGGTTCAAGCTCACCATCTGCTCCTTGGAAACTCTATCCAGGGTCACTATGGGTCAGCACTTAACAACAACAACACTCCCTCTGTAACCATCACAGATTGGCTTTCTTTCTTTTTTTTTTTTTTAAAGCTTTTATTGTGCATTGAGTGATAGCTTCCATGGGCGAACATCAGTTTTGCACTCATCGTATTTCATATCATTGCAATGAATACAATCCCCTCCATGCATCACCATTCAACAGTATTTGCTTCTATTCCCTCTGTTTTTGTTGTTGTTTTATTTTATGTACACGATGATCTTTTCATTCCATTTTTCCATGAACTTTTAGAAGTCTCCTCACGCTTCCCTGTAGAGCTGCATCCCCCTATGATGCACAGAGATAGCCACGATCGTGGCCTGGCTGTGTGACTGGGGTGAGAAAGGCCACTTTTTCTCACGTGGTGACAGGGAGCGTCCGGTGGGTAACTGTGGTGGCTGTCAGCAGTGTGAGGTGGTGCATCTATCTGACTGCCTCGCAGACCTGGCCGGTCACGTGACTAACGGGGACAAGCAGAGCCCCCTCTCCTTGGTCTTCCGCTCTGCTCCCCAGCTCTGGTGTGACCAGAGTTCTCCGATCTCCTCGTCTGCCCGCGCCCCATCATATCACACCTGTCTCACCTTCTCACCAGCTGTCTGGGTTCATACTCAGAATGACCAGAAACATGACACCTTAGGAACTGGCTTGTTAGGAAAACCTAGCTATTTCCTCGGTCAGAGCTGGAAACCTGGTGGGACCTGCTTCTCCTGCCCGGCACAGCCGGCCCCATGCTTGGCAGCATGGTGACCTCGGTGCCTCTCACAGAGCCAGCGGGCGGTGCTGCAGCTGAAGGGTCGCATCCGTGAGCTGGAAGCCGAGCTGACTGAGCAGCGGCACTTGCGGCAGCAGGCGGCCGATGACAGTGAGTTCCTCCGGGCGGAGCTAGACGAGCTCAAGAAGACGCGAGAAGACACAGAGAAGGCTCAGCGGAGCCTGACAGAGATAGAAAGTGAGCGGCGGGGGCGGGGATGGAGGCCGGGAAGTGCAGCGTCGGACTAGCCTCAGGATGGAGGATGCTGGCGGGGCCGCAGGGCCTGGCCTTGCATCCTTCTAAACGAGCTGTCAGGAATGCCAACCCTGGTGACCACTCAGAGGGCAGGTTGCCCTCAGTCCACCAGGTACAGAGCCCTGGGACATGGAACACAGAAAATGATGAGGAGTGCCTGCCCCGGGAATGTGTGTCTGAAGAGAGAGCAGGACAGACAGCCGAAGGAAAAACGGGCATAAAAGCCCCAAACCTTCAAAGAGCAAATGTCATGTATACAAATAACTTTATTTAAGCAGGCATGACTCAAGTTTCAATCAAGTTCATTTTTTCCAAAGTAAAGAAAAACTTCCCAAAGGGGCTTACTTAAGTAGAGTTTTGAGGGAGAAGATGTATAAATTTGTGAAGAGAAAGGAGGAGGACATTGTAGCGCCCCTGGCTAATTAAAAAAAAAAAAAAGGGCACCGGTCCCTGGCAGGATGGACTCTTTCCTTACCTCAGTCTTTGGCACTGCAGGGAAAGCCCAAACCAACGAACAGCGGTACAGCAAGCTAAAGGAGAAATACAGCGAGCTGGTTCAGAACCATGCCGATCTACTGCGCAAGGTAGGACCCCGACCGCACTCTGGCCCATCCTGCAGACCCCACACAAGGCAGATAGCATCTCAAGCCTATGGCTTCTCCAAGTTCAGTGTCTCTGCCAGTTTTCAGGGAGTTGCCATTTCTCAGGAACCACAGCGTTTGAGATCCGTTTCCTCCTGTACCTTGAACTTGATCCTAGACACATCCCACCAATCTTCTCTGCCTTCGTAATTTCTGTAAACCCTTGAGAGCTGAGTATTCAAACATGATCGTTTGCTCTGGCTTCCCTCTCGCGCTCTGACGTCCATCATTTGTTCTAGAAGGAAGATGCCCTCTAAGCTTGAGATGAACCCGTTCAAGACACGTTTCTTCTCTTACAGAACGCAGAGGTGACCAAACAGGTGTCAGTGGCCAGGCAAGCACAAGTGGATTTGGAGCGAGAGAAAAAAGAGCTGGAGGATTCTTTCCAGCGAGTGTGTGAGCAGGCCCAGCGGAAGGTGAGTGGTGAGAACCATGCGGCAGGAAATGGTGGAGTGGAAGGTGTTTTGAGCGCTGTACCCAGGTCAAAAGACTCCCTGGGCAGTCCTGTGGGTTACTTGGCTGTCAGAGTGCACCAGGAAGCCAGGGCTATGCCATTCAAGAGACATGGTTTCCAATGACATACATGGGTTAGGGCCATGAAGTAATGAAGACACTTCTGTTGAACAGAGTTATTAAGACTTTGTGACTTGCAGACAGGAGAGCACCCACAGTGTTGGTAGGAGGTGCGACCAAACCAGAGGCTTAGAGGATGAGGTTAGAAAAATATGTCAGATGGGTGAAAGCCATAGAATGAGAGTAGTGACTTTGATAGTTTTCTGACTGTGACCAAAAGTAACAAATACACATATCTAATGGAAATTAGGAGTCCCTGGCTAGTACTCAGCTAGCTACTAACTGAAAAGTTAGATATTCAAGTCTGCCCACAGACACTTGGAACAAAGGCCTGGTGATCGACTTCTGAAAAATCAGCCAGACACATATGGGGCCACCATGAATCAGAATCAATTTGACAGCAACTGACTATTCAAGAGCAGAGATGTCAGCTTGAGGACTAAGGTGTGCCCGACCCAAGCCATGGTATTTTCAATAACCTCATCTGCATGTGAAAGTTGGACAGTGAATACGGAAGACCGTAGAAGAATTGATGCCTTTGAGTTGTGGTGTTGGAGGAGAATACTGAAAGCACCATGGGCTGCCAATAGAACAAATAGATCTGTGTTGGAAGAAGTGCAGCTGGAGTACTCCTTGGAAGCCAGGATGGCTGGTCTTCATCTCTCATACTTCACATACATTATTCATTGTCCAACTTTCACATGTGTATGAGGCTATTATAAATACCGTAGCTTAGGCCAGGCGCACCTTAGTCCTCAAACTGACACCTTTGCTCTTAAACCCTTTAAAAAGGGGTTTTGTGCAACAGATTTGCCTAATGCAGTACGTCATGTGATTTCTTAACTGCTGCCTTCGTGCATGTCGATAGTGGATCCAAGCAAAATGAAGTCTTTAACAAATCTATCTTTTCTAGCTCGAGGAATTTTGGTGTGTGTTCACCCCTGGTAGCTCCCACCCAGACCAGAGGCTGATTTTCTTCTCTTTCAGACTCAAGAACAGGTGGAGGTTCTAGAGAGCTTGAAGCAAGAACTTACCACCAACAAACAGGAGCTCCAGGTCCTCCAAGGCAACCTGGAAACATCAGCCCAGGTGAGAGAGCACCTCGTGTCTCCCCTGCCTGGTTCTTACCCCGCCTAGCATGTCCTTGGGGAGGGGGCCGTTTAGTTCTGCCAGCCTCCCCCTGCTACTCATGTGCTTGCCACATTGCAGTCAGAAGCAGACTGGGCTGCCCAGGTCAGCAAGCTGCAGAAGGAGCGAGACAGCCTAGTGAGCGCAGCAGCACAGTGCGACGAGCAAGTATCTGCTCTTCGGGAGCAGCTGGAACAAACCCAGCTCAAACTCTCCAGCACCCAGGCGAGTAATGTGCATCTGCTCAGACTGAGGGGCCTCAGGGACTGGGCAAAGGGTGTGGGGGGCTTTGGCCTGCTCACACAGAGCTCCCCCCGCTCGTCATCACAGCACAGGTGAGGAAAGCAGAGCCCTCTTTCTTCTGAGAAGTTTGTCCTTGGAAAGAGTACTCCTCCCCCATAGCCTCCTTGTGGTCAGTACCACCCGCTGTGGAGCAAGTTCAAGGATTGCTCTCATTAAGAGCCATCTGAGCTAAAATGCCAGGAATCCCAGCTATGCCACAGGTGGAAGATGCTCAGGGCTCCTCAGGGGTCTGTGGCAGGCTCTGATCTCTCCAGAGGTTTATGGGAGGCTCTGATCTCCCCGGAGACCTATGGGAGGCTCTGATCTTCCCGGGGGTCTACGGCAGGCTCTGGTCTCCCTGGGGGTCTATGGGAGGCTCTGATCTTCCCTGGGGATCTATGGCAGGCTCTGGTCTCCCCAGGGGTCTATGGCAAGTTCTGATCTCTCTGGGGGTTTATGGCAGGCTCAGGGCTCCCCAGGGGTCTATGGCAGGCTCTGATCTCCCCGGGGGTCTATGGCAGATTCAGGGCTCCCTGGGGGTCTATGGCAGACTCAGGGCTCACCAGGGATCTATGGCAGGCTCTGGGCTCACCGGGAGTCTATGGCAGGCTCTGATCTCTTCAGGGGTCTATGATAGGCTCAGGGCTCCCCGGGGGTCTATGGCAGGCTCTGATCTCCCCGGGAGTCTATGGCAGGCTCTGATCTCTCCGGGCCATTTCTAGGAGTCTGTGGAGCAACTGGCCAAGGAGCAACGGAGAGTGCTCCTCATGGAGTCCAGGAAGGCGGCGGAGCAGGTGGTACACGAAGCCCTGAGCCAGCTGGAGGAGCCCTCACTCATCAGCTGCGCAGGCTCGGCAGGTACTGGGCCAGCATCCCAGCTTTCAGCTGCAGGTCTTTACAGCTTGAGTTGGCGCTTTGTCCCACATGACACAGAGCTCAGGGGTTCTCAGCCTGGCTCTGTATTAGAGTCATCTAAGGAACTCCTGGTATGGAGCTGTAAGATCACCACTGGACTGCAAAACTCAAGGTTGGCGGTTCAAGCCCACCAGCTGTCCCTCGGAAACCCTACACAGGGTCGCTATGAGTCGGAATTGACTCAATGACACTTAACAACAGGAAGAAGGAGGAACATTTGAAAATACTGATTTCCAGACTAGCCTGGGTCACCCTTCATGTCTGGAACGCAATTCCCCCCTGCTGCTCAATTTCAGCCCAGCCCTAGTGAGGGACACACATCAGAGATTGGTCAGCCATTCAGGATCAAAGGGGGCAGCATTTCCCCAAGGAAAGAATTCAGACGGTTGGGAAAATAGGAGGAATGGAAGCAAGAAACAAGGAGGAAGTGGGATGTGAGATGTGACATAGTTGTTGTTGTTAAGTGCTGTCAAGTCGGTTCGACTCATAGCAACCCATATAGGGTTTCCGAGGAGCGAGCAGCTGGTGAGCTTGAACTGCCGGCCTGCAGTTCAAGCCGACCTTGCAGTCTAGACCATTAATCCACAGTACCACTAGGGACTACAATCATTGAGATGAAACAAAGTGTATGATTTATTGAATGTGAAACTGATGATCTGCTCTGTAAACCATCACTCAGTTCACAATGAAAAGTTTTTGTTTTTTCAAACTTGAGGATGCCCAGGCCCCATCTTCAAGCTGTTCAGTGTGAATCTGTGTGGGAGAGGGACTGGGGCATCCAGTGTGGTTTGTTATGCAGGTGTGAGAGACCCCTGGGAAAGTTTCTCCATCCTGGTTGAGGGCTTCAGTCAGATGAAAGATCTCCTAGGGGCCGAGCTTTGGTTAAAAACTGTGAAGGCCCAGAGGACATCTCTGTGAGCTTGGAGTTATCATAAAGTATGGAGAGTCAGAAGTAGAAATCCCACAGCAGAGCCACAGGTGTAAACGGGGCCCATGCAGCATGGGAATGGAGCAGCAATCAGGGGCCGAGCCCCCGAGGAGAGGCAGATGGGAAAGCACCCCCCAGACAGATTGGGGTTGAGCCATCTTGCACATTTCAGTGACCAGATCTCACCAGAGCTCATTTCCAAGCATAGGACATGGGGCCAGGTAGTAAGAGGGCTTATCACCAGGTGTAGCAGGAAGGAGGGAACGACTGGCCATTGGTTTTCATTATTAAATTGAAAGGTCGCCGTTTATCAGTTACACTGCAAGGACTACTTCGTTAACTCACGTAGCTGGGAACCCACCAATACAGAAACTCAAGCATTGCAACTAAGGATGCACCCAGAGCACCTGCTTCACTGAGGAAGTGGCAGGACGTAGGGCCCATGGGCAGAATAGGAGAAAAGAGGTCATGAGGTGGGTTTTGAAGGTTTAGGGATGGAAAGAAAGGAGGAGGGAAAGTGGGTAACAATAATAAAAGCAGCTATGGCTCCACATTGCGCTGCTAACACTACAGTTGGCCATCTGAAAGGTCACAGCCACAGAGACCCTGTGGAGCCTGGTGCCACTGAGTCGCAGACTTCAGAATCGACTCAGCGGTAGTGGGTTTGGTTTGTGGGGGTTACTGTGTGCCCGGCACTATTCTAAGGGCTTTCCATGCCTTGACCCAGTGAATCCTCTGAGTGTGACACCGTGAGGAAGTATTGTCACCCCTATTTTTTTCCAGGAGAGGAAGCAGGCACAGACAGCTCGTGGGAACAGTGCTGGGTGTCATTCCTAGGCCATGTGACTCAAGAGCCCGGACTCTGCCCTCTCGTGCCCATCAACGTCCCCAAGACTCTGGGTGTCCAGGCATAGGTTGGGAGTGACAGTTGTATGCAGAGCATGGGTTAGGCAGGTCGATCCTGGGAATGAGAGTCAACAGGGAAGCGTGGCAGAGATGAGAAAGAAAGGTGGAATGAAGCCTACGGACACAGCCACACTGGTTCTCGGCTGAGGGTGCAGATCAGCTCACAAGCAGAGCGACGGATGCTCCAGGATGGGACACGGCACATTCGTCGCTCTACCCACCTGTCCTTGGGGCACTCACCCACCAGCAAGCGTGCAGTCACTGATGGGAATGCCGTCTCTGACCCGGCCCTGTCTTCCTTCACAGATCACCTTCTCTCCAGGATCAAGTCTGTTTTCAGCTGCATTGAGCAACTAGAAAAAAGTCGGAGCCAGCAACCAGGCTGCCTAGAAGGTAAGACAGGAGAAAACACTGTCATTAGTGAGGCTGGGCAGGGTCAGAAATGCGTGGATGAGAAACGAGTGGTGGGTTCCGTGGACCCAGAGAGGTGGGAATGTCCCTTGTGAGGTGGGGAAGAAGGTGATCGCCCTCAACCAGGACTAAAAACCTTTCCTCTCACCACCCGGCAGACACCAGTAAGATGCTGCAGTCGGTCACCCTCCTTGGCCACTTGACCGGTGACACCATTCTTCAAGGTAGTGCCACCTGCCTTCGAGCCCTGCCAGAGCCCGCTGACTGTGAGTAACTGAGCGTGAGGGGCTGTCATGAAATCACGGGGAGCAGGAGCCTCAACTCTGTTGCCTTGCATCTGCAGCACTGAGCGAGACCTGTAAGCAGTATGGCAGGGAGACGCTCCTCTACCTGGCTTCCCTGGAGGGAGACGACAGTTTGGAGAAGGCCGACAGCACAGCCCTGAGGAACTGCCTTAGCAAGATGGCTGCCATCGGAGAGGTACCGTCGGGAACGTTGTTGTTGTTGTTGAGGGACGCTTCTAGTGTTCATGGGCGTGAGTGCCAGTGACTCGCCAGGGAACGTTCTAAGCCAGTTCTTTTTGACACTTTCAACTTGATTCTAGAGAATAAGAGTTAAAACTGGAAAATCTCAGCTGCTGAGGGACTTGGCCGTTACACTCAATTCAGTCACTTTGCAGTGAGAATCAACCCGTTGCCATCGATTCCAAGTGACCCTGTAGGACACAGTAGAACACCCAGAGGGTGTCCAAACCTATAGCCTTCACAGAAGCAAACTGCCGCCTCATTCTCCAGTGAAGTGGCTGCTAAGTTGGAACTGGTGACCTTTTAGCTCACAGCTGAGTGCTTACCCATTGTGTCACCAAGCTTCCTTTACCACCATACTTGTTGCCAGGTGCTGTCGAGTTGTTTCCGACTCATAGCAACCATCCTCACAATTGTTGTTCAGCGATCACTAGAGTTGTTGTTTTTAAGTGGTGTCGAGTCAATTCAGAGTTACAGTGACCCTGTAGAGGGTTTCCAAGGAACAGCTGGTGGGTTTAAACCGCCAACCTTGTGGAGTACTGGAGGTACTCATTCATCTGTGCCCAGATATTTGGAAGACAACTATCTGGCCAATCAATTGAAAGAGATCCATATTTGTGCCCATCCCAAAGGGAGCTGACCTAACAGAATGCAGAAATCATCAAACAATATCTTTATTATCATATGCAGGTAAATGTTTGCTGAAGATCATTCAAAAACAGCTGCAACAGTACTGTTTTAATGGGAAACTGCAAGCATTTCTTTTAATAGACTCCTGGAGTGGTGCTGTAGGATCAGCACAGGACTGCGAACTAGTAAGTCGGCAGTTCAAACCCACCAGCTGCTCCTCAGCAACCCTATGAGGATTGCTATGAGTCGGAACTCACTTGACGGCACTTAACAACAGCAAGCATAATGATAATGAGATTTTAGTTCATTAAACTATTGGTGGTGGCATCTCATAGTCTTTAGTGTTCAAAAGAGCCTCTTCCCCACCCTAGTGCTGAATTGAGTAAACTGAGAACTTAGTATGTGATTCAAAGTATGTAAGACACAACAAGGAAACAAAAGCATAAATTAGTGAAAACAAAGCATGTCCCACCAGTAAAAATGCAAGGCAGGCCTTTTTGACAGTAGGGCTGACAAGATACTCTAAGAAGTGTTTCCAAGACAGGGACTTTACATTGTTGGATGCAATTTGTAAAAGAGATCTCTTTACATGACTGGCAGGACCGGATTAAAACAAGGAAATCGTAGAATCAGAAACCAAAAGGAAGCTAGAACCAGTGTTTGTCCTGTGGAAAGGGGTTTGCCTGTCTCTGGTGACCGTTCACATTCATTGAGTACACATACAGAACGGGATAAGAAACAGAACGTAGGGCTGAGCAGGATAGAAGACTGAAGACTGGAATGGAGACCTTCCCCACCAAGAGAGGAATCCCAGAGGTTGAATGCATGGACAAAAAGCCTACCCTCCCAAAAACCAGCTGCCCCACATATATGCAGAATAGAGCATCATAGGGTTTTCAAGGCTGAAAATGTTTGAAAGCAGATTGATTGCCTGTCCTTTCTGTGAGGTACCTTTGGGTGGGTTTCAGGTGAATAGGTTCAAACTGCTAACCTTTTGGTTAATAGTCAAGTGCTTTCTCATTTGTACCACCCAGGGACTCCTCTGCCTTACAAGGAAAGACTTTATTTCAAACTTGGTTGTGGGAGAAGGAAACATAGCTCCCTAGAAAATTCCTAATGACAAACCACCTTTAAATGGGCTCTAGGCCCAAATCTCTCATACAACCCATAGGGCATGAAAATCCCAAACTAAAAATGAAATTTTAAGTGGTCGGATTGGTAGTATAGATACCTGACAGAAACTAATTCAAATTGTCTTTCTTTGAACCTAGGCCTCAAAGAGTTTACAGATGCAGTTCTAAGGAACGTTGTTTTTTTTTTATAGTTTTTTTGTGAATTGGGTGATAGTTTACATGGGAGAACATCAGCTTTACATTCATCCCATCGTATTTTGTTTCATTGCAATGATTACAATCCCCTCCATGCATCATCAAACAACCAAAGGGTACACCCCGCAAGCCTGCCCCCTGGCCTTTAACACACAGACCCTCTCCCTCCCAGAGTCCAGAGTTCCCACCCACTCCATCTCTCCATGTCATTGTCTCTGTCTCCATCTTTGGTGTTGCTGCTTCTCTGGGTAGGTCCCGCACTCCACTCTTCTCCCTTGATGGTCCACTGCTCCTGAACTGCAAAATCAGCCACTCCCCCTCCTCCTGTTACAAAACGTCTACCTCACAATCAGACCTGATAGCAATTATTCACTACTGAACCACAGGAGTCTTATCCCCATCTTAAGGGACATTTTTTGTTGTTGTTAAGTGTCACCAAGTCAGTTTGGACCCATAGCGACCCTGAATAGGGTTTCCAAGGAGCAGCTGGTGAGCTTGAACTACCGACCTTGCAGATCAAAGCCGACTTTGCAGTCCAGCGCATTAACTCACACACCATACCGGGACTCCAAGGAACATAGGTCACACTAAATATGTTTGATGCATCTAAAGAATTAATGAAAGGTGTTAAAAGTGCGACAGGAATAAAATAGTTTAAAAAATAACTAGACATATTTTTTAAAAAGAACCATATGGAACTTTTGGAAATTAAAAAGTATAAGTAACTACAGTATATAGGTTCACCAGCAGATTAAAACAAAGCTGAAGAGAGAATTCATGAACAGGATAATAGAGCTAAAGGAATTATACAGAATGTGACACAGATTTTATAATAGGGACTACAGAGGTTAAGAGACAAGAAGGCTAGAATAAAGAAGATAATTAACCAGGTCCTCTTTTTCTTTCCCCTCTAAATAATATTTGATTTTGTATGTTTTGCAAATCAAGTCCTTTGATATGCATTCTTCTACTTTTTCAGTCAACATTCTGTTTGTAAGATGTATCCACACTAATACTTTTTCACTGCTCTGTGTTGCATTGAGTTATGGTTTGTCTCTGTTCTCTCATTGATAGACAGTTGGAGTCTTTGTAGTTTAGAGCTATTATGAATGTACCATGATGGTCATTCTCAGGATACACAGGTGTAAGATTTTCTCCAGGGTGTAGACCAAGGAACATAATTACCAGGATACAGGGTTAATCTCACATGTAGAATCAAGTTGAGTGTAAAAGCAAGTCATTGAAAAGGACACCAAATGACATAAACAAGACATTGTTTAAGGTTGCATCTGTATGTGGCTTTTAAAAAGCAATACGTGGAAACCACTCTCCTGATATGTGTTTTTATCTTGGAGTGGGGAGCTGGTAAACAGAAAATGAGAGTCAGGACAGGGTGTATAGGGGACTAAAAGAATTCGTGTTCCTTAACATGAGTCTCTGTTCTGATTTTTGAAATCAGCCATATGGATTTGATGCTCTTGTATGTACAATACCTAACATTTTAAAAGTCCTGGACTTTGCAGGCAGACAGGCCAAGTTCAGATCTGTTCTATCTTCTATCAGTTATATAGCTGTGAGCTTTGGAGTCAGTCTGTAAAACCAGGAAGTAACTGCCTCATATGATTGCTGTTGAAACAAAATTAAATACGGCAGCAACCATCTAGTCATGATGCAGTTGGTAAAACTATTGTCTGTTGTGGGAACTTAATAGTAATATCTCAGGATTTTAGCATGTGCGCGCTATTTTCTGCAGTCTTTATAATGCAACACAAAAGAAACTTTGGTGAAATTCCAGAAACTATTGGAAGAAAGCTGTAGAATTATTACTGATACAGTCACTACTGAAGTTGGGATCTCACGTAGTTTGACATTTTCAATTTTAAGTGAACATCTTTGTCTCTGCAGGGTTTAGGCTGGGCAGATGCCAAAAGGATTGTGGGAAGATCAGCTAGCTCAAGAGTTGATCTTTCCCGTCAGTCTCTTAAGCAGAATTAGCAGGGGACAAGTTTTGGATTCAGAAAGCAAAATGCAGTCAAATCAGTGGCTTCTGAGGGGATTTCCTGGGCCAGTTGCATTGAAGGCAGAGTTATCATTTCAGAAGGTTATGGCGACGATGATCTTAACATCCTTTTTTCACTCCAAAGGTGTAACCTTGGTAGATTTTCTTAAAGAACACAAGATGACCACGAGGGTTTATTATGAAATTTTCAGAAAACTGAAAGCTGCATTGGTGAGAAGCTAGCCAGCAAATTTGTACCAAGGAATGGTTCTCCATCACGATGATGCATCAGCTCATTCTTTGAGGGTAGCAAGGGCTGCCCTAGGAGAATTTCACTGGGAAACCTTCCCCCATCTACCATACTGTCCTGATCTTGCCTTGTCAGACTTCTTTTTTGTTCCCCAAACTCAGTAACTATTTCAAAGGAATATGATGCAAGTCCCTCGAGAATGTCCAAACTGCCATTTGGATATGGTATTGATCAAAAAGTACAGAACTCTTCAGGGAAGGGTTAGACAGATGGAGACACTACCTTCAGAAGTGTGGAGACCTAGATGGAACAGCTTCACATTTTGATATCTTTGTTTAATAAATGTGTCTATGATTTTGTAAAAAAAAAAAAAATTAAATACGGGACAAACTGTCTGGTTGGGAGACATCATATATACTTGGAAGAGTTGATAAAATAATTTCCTGAAGGCAGAGGTGATGACATGGAGAGATGGAGCAGCTAAGGACTCTAGACTCATGGAAAGAGAAAGGCTGTGTGCTTGCAGCCAGGAGGCAGGCTTACAGAATGTGCCCTTTGGTTGTTTAAATTATTATATATTCCTGAGTGTTTTTGTGCACATCCCCTCCTATCCACCCAACAACAACAACAAAAAAAAAAAACCAGAGGGAATAAAAGCAAATACTGTTGAATGATGATGTACAGAGGAGATTGTAATTATTGCAATGAAACAATGAGTGTTAAACCAATGTTCTCCCATGTAAACTATCACTCAATTCACAATAAAAAGTTTAAAAAGTAAATAAATAAGTAACTTCCTGAAGGCAGAGATGAGGGCATGGAGAGACAGAGCAGCTGAGGACTCTAAACTCATGGAAAGAGAAAGGCTGTGTGCTGGTGGCTAGGAGGCAGGCTTGATTCAGAATGTGCCCTTTGGTTGTTTAACTGATTATATATTCCTGAGTGTTTCTGTGTACATCAAAAAAAGGGAATAGAAGAAAATACTGTTGAATGATGATGCACAAAGGGGATTGTAATCATTGCAATGAAACAATGAGTGTAAAACAAGTGTTCTCCCATGTAAACTCACTCAATTCACAATAGAAACTGTAAAAAGATTGTAATAATAATAACTTTCTGAGCAGCAAGTACAACTGACATTACACAGCTATGTAGTTAGGGCCTGAGCAGCTGCAGCTAAGCATCCTTATGGGGTTAAGTTGACGTGGCTTCCTAGAAAGAGGTGGGTTCTAAGTGAGGGTGCAGAGAGCACAGCATGATCACTACCAGGTGACCCTGTGAAGAAAACCCCTTGGTGGCTGGCGGGGCCCTCCTCCTTCCTGTCACCCTATAAAGGTTACAGACTGGCCAAGGAAGAACACCGGGGTCAAAGTCATGTCATGCCTTTCCTAGGAGCTGTTGCCCAGAGGCCTGGACATCAAACAGGAGGAGCTGGGAGACCTGGTGGACAAGGAGATGGCTGCTACGTCTGCGGCTATTGAGAGTGCCACAGCCCGGATTGAGGTACGGGCCTTCCGCTGGAGCTCCTCCACTGACACCCCGGCAGCAGCCCTGTAGCAGCACTACCCACTGGATGTGTGGCTGAGTCCTTCTGAACACTGCAGAGGCCTCTATAAAACAAAGTAAAGCCCTGAGGGAGAGAGGCCAAAAAGGGCCTCACTGAAGGGAGGCAAGCACTTCCTTAGACTAAGATACTTGGGGGTCAGACCATCTTGGGTGCAAGTTATCTATTGTTGTAGTTGTATGCTATCAAGTCGGTTGTGACTCATCGCAACCCTGTGTAGGGTTTCTGAGAACCACTGGTAGGTTTGAACTGCTGGCCAGCCCAGTGCTTATCCTACAGCGCCACAGCCCAGGACACATAACTTCTAATAAGCTGCATTACCCATGGTAAAATTCAGATTCCTTTTTTAGATGGTGGCAGTAATAATCATATTTACCACATTGGGATGGTATACGAGTTCAGTGCCTTAACACACAGCTCTCTCAGTGCTACCCTCTCAGTAGATCAATGGTACTCCTCATCAATAGGAGAGAAATTGAGTGGGGCACCATTTGAAAGATCATATAGCGCTCCTTTATGGAAGACCCAAGGCCACCTGCCATGGTAAAAGCATCTGCCTCTAGGACCCAGCAGCAACCTGCCCTGTTGTGGTGCCGAAGCTGTAGAGCATGATGCACAGCAGCCTGGGTGTTTGTAGAGCCAGCCTGCTGGAGCTGAGTTCCACCCAGCTAGACCAGAGGTCCTGTCTCCCCCTGACTCTCACGGACTTGGTTGAGCACTTCGAGATCGGGCTTTCTCAGCTACTCCAGGAAGATCCTGTACTCTACTGAGGAGCACGTTAGGGTCTCTCAGTACCCATGATGTATTCAGAAACCATACTTCTTTCTAACAGGAGATGCTCAGCAAATCTCGGGCAGGAGACACAGGAGTCAAATTGGAGGTGAATGAAAGGTCAGTGTGAGCAGATAGCAACACGGACAGGTCTTGCTTGTAATGCCTGATACTCCCATGCCCGTCAGGAAATCGAAACTAGACACGAGCAGCCACAGGGAGAGAGAGGCCCCATCCATGGAATTGTGGATAACCCATCACCTTCAAGCTGATTCCACTCGTAAACGATGCAATAGGGCAGAGTGAACTGTGTGCCACGGGGTTTCCCGGGTTGCACACCTTGACGGAAGCAGACCGCCACTTCGTTCTCCCACAGAGTGGCTAACCTTTTGGTTAGCAAATGAGCACTTAACCACCACACCCATGGGGCCCGTCATGTTGATAGCAGTATTAGTGACGGAAATGATTGCTGTTGCATTTGAGGCTTTAGAAGCCCTATTTTTCAATGAGTTACCATTCTAAGATTCACCCTTGAGTCTCCTCACCCACCTGCCTGCCCCCCAGACCAGTCCAGCCACTTCAGCGTCCTCCTGGCCTCCCTGTCTTTCCAAGTCTACCTGTGTTTCAGATAAGAAACAGACTAGGGGTCTTCACATCGGTGGGCCCCGTGCCCTTGTTTTCTCTTTTTCAGGATCCTTGGGTCCTGCACGGGTCTAATGCAGGCTATTCAGGTCCTGATTATAGCTTCCAAGGACCTCCAGAGAGAGATTGTGGAAAGCGGTCGGGTAAGTGTCTTAGTTTCCTAGTGCTGCAGTGACGAAGCTTCCATGGCAGGGTGTGGGGGTCCTGAAGAACAGAAATCTCCTTTATCACACAGTCCAGAAGTGAAAAATCCAAACTGGGGTCTCTGCTGAGCTGATTCCGCCCTGGGCGTTCCTTAGTTCCTGAGCAATCCTCATGTGACGTCTGTCTCCTCCCCTCCTCTCCCTCCCTCCTGTGCTTGTGTACTCCGTGTCTACGGTTTTTAATAGTTGTCACTAAATTGATTCCAACTCAAGGCAACCCCGTGTGTGTGCATAGAACTGCTCCATAGTATTTCCCGGGCTGTAACCTTTCAGAAGCAGACTGCCTGGCCTGTCTTGTAAGGCAACTTTGGTGGTGGTGTTGTGAAGGGCTGTGAAGTTGATTCTGACTCAGCAACTCTGTATAGGATTTAAACTACCAGCTTTGTGGTGAACCGTCCAGTACTTATCCAGGGCTCCAGCGCACATCTGAGTAGGTTCAAACCATCGACCTTTTAGCTAGTTGTCAGTGCTGTGCCATTTGTGCCACACAGAGACTCCTCCTTGTCTCACTCACTCTTTATCCACAAAGACGTGATTCCGTTTAGGATCTACCCTACCCTCCACTGGCATGGTTTCAGCTGGTTAAATGCATTATATTCCATTACATTTTGGAAGGTGAGTGCATTACATTAGATTAGATTTGTTGTTAAGTGCCATCAAGTCGGTTCTGACCCATAACGACCCTGTATAGGGTTTCCAAGGAGTGGCTGGTGAGCTTGAACCGGCAACCTTGCAGTTCAAATGACTTTTTGCAGTCCAGCTCATTTACCCACAATACCACTCCCCAGGACTCCTAGATTAGATTACATCTACAGACATGTTATTGAGTTGGCTCCCACTCATAGTGACCCTGTGAAGGGTTTCAAAGGCTGTTACAACTTTGTAGGAGCAGAAAGCCTCATCTTCCTCCCACAGAGCGGTTGGTGGGTTTGAACTACCGACCTTGTGGTTCTCAGTCCCGTGCTCATCCTAAGGCACCACCACACTCCCTCCTCATCTACCAGTGTAGAGATTATTCCAACATATATTTGGAAGGAACACAATTCAAACCATCCCAATAAGCATTGGTGCAGATCTGTAGTGGCTAACTCTACTTGAGAAGGCTCATCCTGATTCTGTGAGATCACATGATGCCTCTCTGCACTGCCCCAGCCCCAGAGAGCCACCCGAAACTGTCAGCGTTAGACAGACATGGACGGAACCTGCTAGGGAAACCCCATTTATGGTGCCAGGCCGGCCCTCTGGAGAAGAAGTGACAACTTTAGAAAATGGAACCCATCAAAATTGTAGGTCTGGTAGCCTGGCATCCCTTCTACCCTGGACTGTCCACTGCAGCCTCGTCAGGCCCCTTCCCAACGTCGCCTCACAGCCTTGAGACTCACTCAAGCCTCTCATCACTGTCTTGATCGGCTCCTCCACCAACGCTGCTCTCTGTTCCTCACATCCCTGAACGCGGCTACAGCTCAGGAGATGGAGGCCCAGGGACGGGCGCCAAGTCAGAAAGCAACTTGCTAAACAAAGTAGTCATGTTTGTTGTGTTGGTACTTTTTTCTCCTCAGTCTGAGAGGTGTGATGTTTTTCTCTCTCTAAAAGAGAGTGAAGAGCTGAGCAAGGTGTTCCTGCAGATTCTCAAACGGCCAGACACTTTCAAAGTGGAAGTGTAGTCTACATTCAAGTAGCGATCATTTGAAACCTTATTTGCTATGTGTGTATTCTCCTCCTTTGGTAAAAGATGGAGTGTGGCTAGCCTCCCACCAGATCATAAAATATTCATATTTATCTGTGTTCCTTATACATGCAGTAAAGAAATGCTGTGGGCTTTAGAAGCTGAAAAACCTAGGATTTACATTCATGGATTTCCCACCCAATGCATGATCTGGGAAAAGTATTTCACCTCTGAATTTCTATTTTCTCATCTTTAAAATGGGACTAATAATGCTGCTATCTTGGGGTTACTGTGAAGAGTATATGAGATCATGATCATTTGTCACTTCTTTAGGGTACGGCATCCCCTAAAGAGTTTTATGCCAAGAACTCGCGCTGGACTGAAGGACTCATATCTGCCTCCAAAGCAGTGGGCTGGGGGGCCACCATTATGGTGTAAGTTACCAGTAGTCCCAAGGGCTTCACCCCAGCTCCCTTCCATCAATACCAATCCCTCCCCTTCCCACCCCACCTCAGAAGAGCTAAGGGGAAAATAAACAGCCTACCCCCTAGAAATGAGCTGGACCTCCAGAAAGTGAACAGATGAAAAGTTTTGGTAGAATCTTGGTTCTCCTGAGACGACACTCCCTGTCTAGCCAGTGGGACAGGAATGGGTGGGAGGTGGGGTCAGAAAGGCTTGAAGCTGTTGGTGATGTCGTGCATCTTGTCCTTTCCTATCAGGGATGCTGCAGACCTGGTGGTACAAGGCAGAGGGAAATTTGAGGAGCTCATGGTGTGTTCCCATGAAATTGCTGCTAGCACAGCTCAACTTGTGGCTGCATCCAAGGTAGGCCCCGTCTGGAACTCCCAGGGACACTCTAAGGGCTGGCTAGATTAGACACTACAGGACTGTGGAGCTGGTCCCCAAAATAAGTGACTTATCCAAGGTCCAGGTAGGTTGGGTCTCGGATAAAAATCTTATCTCTCAAGGGTTGCAACTACTCCTTTCATCTGGCACCAAGAAGGCCCTCTGCCCACATCACCCCAGGAGCGCCTCTTGGCTCCCTCTCACTTTTGTTAGAATCCACCTTTGAGGGCCCCGTCTATGCCAATTTCTGAGTAGCAATCATAGCATTCAGAGAGAGCTCAGCAAAGGAAAATGGCGGCACAGTCAACAGATTATCCATCTGGGCTCTGGAGGGTCCACAGCCAACATGTGACTTTCCCCAAGGATCCCCAGATACACCTCAGCTAAGTGGCGCTGTGGGTTAATGCGCTGGACCGCAGGGTCGGTTTGAACTGCAAGGTCCGTTGTGCAAGCTCACCAGTCACTCCTCAGAAACCCTAAACAGAGTCACTATGAGTCGGCACTTAACAACAACAATCTGATGCAACGCTTGTAAAAGAAATCCTTTTAAATTTCATATGTCTTTTATTGTTCCAAATTAGATGTCCACAGTTAGAACCGCTTATGAAAATCAGTGATGAAATGTGCATTTTTACGTTCATTGCAGCATTTTTCACAGTAGCAAAAGAAAAAAGGAAACAACCTAAGTTGTCTTCAATAGAGGGGTTGATAAGTAAATGTGGTACATATAATGGGACACTACGCAACCATAGACATGATGAGTCCGCAGAGCATACTGCTACGTGGGTGGATCTGGAGGACGTTATATGATATTTGTCTGTGTGTGCTTGAATACATCAAATACATAGGAACAAATACTATACAATCCACCTTTATAAGAAGATAAGGGGCCTTCAAAAAGTTTGTGGAAAAATTGAATTTGGGGGGGGGGAAAAAATGAAGGCCCTTCATATGTAGTGAAAGAGACCAGTGTTCTTTGATGGTTACCAGGGATGAGTGGGAGGGGACAAGCTGCCATCGAGTTGGTTCTGACTCATAGCGAGCCTGTATAGGGTTTCCAAGGAGGATCTAGGGGATTTGAACCGCTGATCTTGCAGCTAGCAGTCCAGTGCTTATCCTACAGCACCACACCAGACTGTCTCTGGATTGTGGGTGTTATTTTCAGTGTTGGGGAAAATAGCACCAAATGGAAGTAGAACAAACACAGCTCAACCAAAGTAAATGATGTGACAAAGTGCACAAAAGAGGAGGAGGTTTGTGCTAAAGAACATGAACGATAAAGAATATCATTTGGTAGCAACACCCAATAGTAAACTACGGTCACATATGGATGTGTGTAGGCAAATATGTGGCTGAGGAAGTGCCTGTGTGTACTTGTGCGCGTGCAGAGAAGTATCTGAATGCACCAGTACGCACAGACATGTATATGTGTGCGTATATGTCCATGGAGCACACAGTTACAGATCCTTCTCAGACATAATCAGATCCCTCACGAGATTGGTTTAGGACCTTAGTCCCATAGGACTGCTCAGTCAACTGAAATAATACGAGGAAGCTGCAGAAAGTGCTTGAAAAATGGAATGAATAGATAATGGAAATATTCACACACTTTTGAAGTCCCCTTGTATAGTCCCCAAAGTTCACGTTTGATACCCCGGTGAGGTGAGTAGTGTCTGGGGTCCTAAAAGTTTGTATGCAGCTATCTCTAACTGCATATTGAGGTCTTCTTGTCAGGAGCCAGAGAGAGAGAGAGAGAAAACCAAAGTCTCAGAGAAGAAAATAATCGGTCGGACTAATAATGCCCTATATAAGCACAGCCTCATTACCTGAGATCAGAAGAAGCCGACCACCACTACTGACCTTTCTGATTAGGGCCACGGTAGATGGACCCTGATAGAACGGGAGAAAAATGTGGAAATGCTTGAAGTGTCCAGACTTACTGGACCAGCTGGGACTAGAGCACTTCCTAAAACTATCATCCTGGTATGCTCTTTAAACCTGGAAACAAATCTATTCCCTGAGATCACTTTTTAACGAAACAACACAGTAGCACATAAAGGGTGTAAGCCATAGATATAGCGCTCCATTAGAAAACCACCTCTATGAGACCCAAAAGTCAGCAATTACTAAAGCAAAGATGAGCTGGGAAACTAGACTACTGGGACTGGAACAACCAGAAGGCAAGTAAAGAGAATGTTGACACATAGTAAAAAGTGTAACTAATGTCAATCAAGAGTTTGTATCGAAATTGTTAAATGGGAGCCTAATTTGCTGTGTGTAAACTTTTCACCCAAAATTTATTCTTTAAAAAAAAAAACACAACACTGTGGAACAATATACACTTGTCTGTGGATATTCATCAGCTACATGCTCAAATTTATGATATAAGTAATTCTCAAAGTGAACACTGAGTGGCTACTAATTTGCTACCCCTGCTAGAGAGTAAGATCCCCTAAGAACTTGATTGAACCTCAGCATAGTGATCCTGCTTGGTCACCTTAGAGCAGGTGGTGGGCTGGCAACGTCTTGCG